GATAAATAATGACCAGTCCCATAATGGAAGAATTAACCATGACTGTCAAATCCATTATTTATTTCTATTTCTTATTTCTTACAGTAAATCTATTTGCACAAAGACTACTTTCTTTCCTGGCTGTATCATTTGTTATCACAAAAGAACAGGCTGGTTTTACAGTATGATAACAAAACATATGACTGGGGTGCATGGCTCTGTTCAGCAAGTGCTTGCAGAAGAAAGGACCCTCTGGGAACTTATGGTACACACAGCCAAGCTCATCTTACAGTACTTRCCATTCCTGTAGAATATCTGCTATTTTGCTAACCGTTTCTGGTTTAATATCCCTTCCTAGAGCATACTCTACTTCAACTTGTTTGTTTTTCTGGTCTAACTTGCCATGGATAATATCAGCATATATTGCCTCAATTATTAGGTCCTGATTAAAGAAAAACAACAACAAATTGAAGCAATAGTTGGGATACCTGTGGTAATTTATACCCACTTATACCAAGTTGGGATCCCTGTGGCAAGGGATATGGTACATAGAAAAATCTCGGTGAAAAAACCTGTTCGAAGTCTATATATAATTTAATATTAGCCAATAACCTGGCTACAAAATGAGCCATTGGTTGTGGGTAAAACAATAGACACTCTTCTGAGGTTGGAGTTGATAAAATACAGTAATGATAAAAGGGTAAAGTTTACACTGTGAAAAGATGAAAAAATTTGCTGACATTTCAGACTCTAGTCCTTTGTCGGAGTTAAAAACTTACTGACGTTTCGGACACTACTCCGACGAAGGACTAGCATCTGAAACATTCCAGTAAGATGCAATTTTACCAGCAGCCATGTTTGTTTTCTCGGTTGGATAATTTGACTATTCATTCATATGGCTTACCTCTAACTCTCTTAAATTAGATATATCCAACTCTTCTAAAAGTAACTGATAAGGAATAAACTGGAAAAGAAATCCATCAACATCTATTAAGATATAATAAAATATCATAATTTGATCCCAATCATAATTTGATCCCAACAGAATGCAATCAAGACAAGGTGGCCATCATTGTTGGTTGATGCCACAAATCTAAGAGATTTTTAACATCTTTTGTTAATCTTTTGTTGTAGTTTCAGAAATTATCCATACCC